GAAGAATCCTTTATTTTGCTGGGGGTGGGGGTGGGGGGGCATGATTGGGAGGAATGGCCTTTCTAATCTGAACCCGAGCAGTGTACTGTTGTTGGATTTCTGTGCTAGTCATAGTTTGTCCATCACGAACACCACGTTCAAACATAAGGGTGTCCAGAAGTGCACTTGGCACCAGGATGCCATAAGTCGTAGATCAATGAGTGACTTTGTAGTTGTATCATCAGATTTGCAGCCATTTGTTTTGGACATTCGGGTGAAGAGAGAAGCTGAGCTGTCAACTGATCACGATCTGGTAAAAAGTTGAATCAGGTGGTGGAGGAAAGATGCCAGACAGACCTGGTAGACCCAAACGTGTAGTAAGGGTTTGCTGTGAATGCCTGACAGAAGAACTTGTCAGAAAGATTTTCATTTCACACCTCCAGGAGAGCTTTAACTGCCTCTCAGCTGAGGTGGGGGACATTGAGTCCAAGTGGGCTATGTTCCGCGCCTCAGTTGTTGAGGGGGCTGTCTTGAGCTTGGCCCTAAGTTTGTCAGTGCTTCTCGTGGTGGCCATCCTCAAACTTGGGGGTGGACACCCCAGTTAAGGAGCCTATCAAGCTGAAGAAAGAGTCCTATCGGGCCTTGTTGGCTGATGGGACTCTGGAGGCAACTGAGGAGTAACAGAGGGCCAAGCTGCCTGCATCCTTGGCTGTTGCTGAGGCAAAAGCATGGATGTGGGAGGAGTTTGGTGATGTTTTGAATAGACTTTCGATCAGCTTCAAGGAAATTATGGCAAACCATCAGGTGTCTGAGGAGGGGAAAGCATTGCTTTACTAACACTGTGTTCAGTGAAGGTGGGTTAATGTTGACCTCAACCAGTGATGTTGTCTGGAGGTGGATGAATACCTCACAGACCTTCTCAATCCCACCAACATGTCTTTTATGAAGGAAGTGGAGTTAGGGGACTTCGGGGTTGGTTTGTCCATAACTGTGACTGAGGTCACTGAGGTGTTTAAAAATCAACACGGCGGCAGGGCTTGGGAGATAGATAAAATCAGCCTTGATTTCCTTAAGGATCTGGATGTTGTGGGGCTGTTTTGGTTGACATGCCTTTTCAACATCAAGTGGACATCGGGGGCAGTGCCACTAGATTGGCAGACTGGGGTGGTGGTTACTCTCTTCAAAAAGGGGGACCATAGGGTGTATTACCATTATAGGGGGATCACTCTTCTTAGCCTCCATGGTCTTTTCAGTGGTACTGGAGAAGCAAGTCAGATGGATGGTTGCTCGAATCTCATATCCAGAAAGAACAATGCAAGTTCTGTCCTGGCTCTGGAACACTGGACCAGCTCTTTACCCTTATTAGGGTCCTTCAGGGGTCATAGGAGTTTGCCTATCCAGTCTACATGCGTTTTGTGGACTTGATGAAGGCATTCAACTGTGTTCATCTGGATGCACTGTGGGGGGTGCTCTGCAAGTATGAGATTGGCGGCCCATTGTTACGAGCTGTCCGGTCCCTTTACAAGTGGTGCAAGAGTTTGGTTCTTATTGCCATTAGTAAGTCGGACTCCTTCAGGGTGGGAGTTGGACTCTTCCAGGGCTGCCTGTTGTCACCAATCCTGTTCATGGACAGAATTTCTCAGTGCAGCCAGGGACAAAGGTAGTCCAGTTTGGCAGCCTCAGGATTCCATCTCTGCTATTTGCAGATGATGTGGTCCTGTTGGCATCATTGTGCCGTGATCATCAACGTTCACTGGAGTGGTTCACAGCCAAGTGTGAAGCGACTGAGATGAGAATAAACACCTCCAAATCTGAGGCCATGGTCCTCTGTCAGAAAAGGGTGGATTGCTCTATTCGAGTCAGTGGTGAGGTTCTGCCTCAAGTGAAGGAGTTTAAGTATCTTTTTTTTTTTTTTCATGAGTACCGGAAGAATGGAGTATGAAATTGACAGATGGCTTGGTGCCACATCTGTAGTATTGCAGACTCTGTGCTGGTCCGTTGTGGTAAAGAGGGAGGTGAGTTGTAAGCAAAGCTCTCTGTTTACCAGTCAGTCTACATTCCTACCCTCACCTATGGCCACAAATTTTGGATAGTGACAGAAAAAATGATATTGTGGATACAGGCGATTGAAATGTTTCCTCTGATAGGTATAGCTGGACTCTCACATAGAGATAGGGTGAGAAGTTCAATTATACAGGAGTGAGTCAGAGTAGAAGTGTTGCTCCTCCTCATTGAGAGGGTCCAGTTGAGGTGGTTTGGACAGCAGGTAAGAATACTCCCTGGGCGCCTCCCAAGGAAGGTACTTTAGGCATGTCCGACTGGGAGGAGAGCCCAGGGAGTTTTCATACTCACAACATGAACTGACAGATGGGGGTATTTCCAATTCCCCTTCTTTGCTCCACAACAGGGGACAATAACTGATCTCCTTGTTCAATGTAATGCAACAGGTAACATAATATTCTGTACAAAGGACAACTACAGACTATCACCACTTTGATCAATTTTAATTATCTTGTCTAAAATTCAACTCACAACCTTCTATAGTCTGTAGTAAAATATCATTATCAAGTCTCCATAGTGGCCGTCTTGGAAAAAAAAGGCGGACATTTTTCAAAAGATCAATGACTAAGGAATATTAGCACCAAGTTTTGTGCTTGTATCACCATTTGAAAGATTGATGGCAAATAAACACCACTCCCACTAAACGGATTGTTGGTTTGCGTCACCTCAAAAGCACCAAAAACACAAAGTCAGAATTCCTCATAAATCTATATAGTTTCTATCTCTTTTACCTGTTACTCAAATGATAAATGCTTTTTCTTTCAGCCTGGGATCCAAAACTCATTAAAGAATGATGAAACAGAATGTAAGAGCTTGCTCGTCTTTACATAGTGCAAAATGTTGAAAAGTTTTCATGAATTGATGAAGATAAATAGAATAACTTGTTGGTTGATTTAAAATAATGTACATATTTACAGCCATAAATTTACCAGCTCATGTCTTTTACATGATAGCAAATATTCATTGTCAACAATGAAGTCAGATTTACTTGCCCTGATCTTAGAAAAGTAATTTATTTTATATGCAGCCGTCACTTTTAGGAGATCGCGTTTAAGAGCCAGTAAAGAGCAACGAAAGCCAAATCAAGTTTCCCATAACCTGCCTCTTCTACCATCTATACCTCCCAAAGCACATTTTCTCTGCATGAGCTTTTCTTAAACTAGCACTTTGCCAAATTAAAGTCAGGATCCACCTGTGTTTTGTGTGTGGTTGTGGGTGGGGGGACAACTGTGTTTTGTGTGTTTTTGTGTGTGGTGGTGG